ATAGGATCGAAGTTCAAATACCTATATTATATACTATTAAGGATACTATACTAACTAATTATATTAGCTCTATTAAGACTAATATAGATAATAGGTTTCTATTAACCGCTTCACTATTAACTGAACCTAATAGCTTTGATAAAGCTATAAATAGTCCTAAAAAGGATAAATAGTTTAGGGCTTGCTTAGCGGAAGTCAAAGAACTTGAAAAACAAGAAACCTATAAAATAATAGATATACTACCTAATATAAAACCTATTAAGGGTAGATAGGTTTTTAAGAAAAAACCTATTAATAGTCCTAATCCGGATAAGGACTATATAACTAATAGTAATAAAACTATTAGATATAAAGCTAGGTAGGTAATTCAAGGATTTTAGCAAAAACTAGGTATTGATTTCCTAGAAACCTTTTCTACTATGTGTAGAACTGAGTCTTAGTATCTAATATTGATAATAGTAGTTAATAAAGGCTAGTACGTACTATAATATAATGTTAAAAATACCTTTGTATATACTAATATAGATGCTGAAATATATACTATCCTACCTATAGGAGTATATAATAACCCTAATAAGTGCTGTTATCTAAAGAAAGCACTATATAGTCTAAAATAAAGCCCTAGGCTTTAGTATAAATATCTATCTAATATATTAGCTAAATTTAACTTTAAGGTATTTATATACGATAAAGGTATATATATAAACCCTAAAGATCAATATATACTAATTTGTTATGTTAATAATATATTAGTAATACACAAAGATTTAAGCTATATTTATAATATAGTAGCTAAAATAAAGCACTATATAAAGATAGAAGAAATTGGTATAGTATCTACATTCTTAGGTAATAGTATATCTATTAACTATAAAGATAAGATACTATATATAGACCAAAAGGGATATATAGAGAAACTATTAAATAAGTTCTCTATTTATAATAATCCTAGTTATAAGCCTATTAAAACACCGGGTAAACCGGGTTTAAAGCTTAAAAAGAATACTACAAATATAAGCCCACAAGATATTAAAGAATATCAGAAATAAATAGGGTCTTTACTCTATTTAGCCCTAAAGACTAGGCCTAATATAACCTTTGCTACTATATACTATACTAGATATATAAGCAATCCTAGTAAGGACTATTTTATAGCCCTAAATAGGATTTAGAAATATTTACTAGTATATCCTAATATAGGATTAGTATATAATTACTTAGGTAATAACCTATATATAAAGGGCTATTCTAATACTGATTAGGGTAATGATTTAGATTAACGAAGATCTACGTTAGGCTATATATTTAGCCTAAGCCCTAATATAGGGATAAATAACCCTATTAGTTAGAATTCTCAACTACAGAAAATAATAGTAATTAGTAGCTGTGAAGCTAAATATATAGCACTAAAAGAAGCTACTAAAGAAGCTATATATCTAGCTAATATATTTAATTTATTAAATATAGAGCTAGATCTAGGATATACAAATTGTATACCTACTATCTTAGTTGATAGTGAATCAGCTAAGAAACTATCTAAGAATCCAGAATTCCATAAACGTTTAAAGTATATTGAAATAATATATCATTTTACAAGGCAAGCTTTATTAGAAGGTAAAATCATTGTTAATCAAATACCTTCTAAATATATGCTCGTAGACTTTTTAACAAAGAATGTTAATAATATCTTATATAAGGCTTTTATAGATCTAGCTAAGCTAGGTACTATATAAAGACCTATAATATATATATATTTATATATATATATATTTATACTATATGCTTATACTTATAATCCTTATAAAGATTATAAGGATTAAGGGGGTGTATAAGTATAATAGTAATTGTAAGATATATTATGGTATGTGAGGATAAGATATATATTTTACCGGTAGTATCTAAGAGAACCTTAGATATATTATTTACGGTAAACTATATTATAACTCACAATATATCGCCATAAATCTAGGATATCATAATGAAGTCATTATATTATTAATGACTTTCTATAATATTCTATACTGCTAGAGCTTACCTATATAAGGAATGAAGGATTCCTAGCTAGAAAATAATTAACGAATACACCTTTTCTCACCTCTCACCCATTATTATCTACTTAAGCTAAGTATAAACCTTTCTATATCTTATATAATACAATATTATATAAGATAAAGCTTATTTAATACACCTTCCCCTACAAAATATTATAACCTACTATTAGGCTATAATATTATTTCTGCTAAAGTGCTCACAAACTTTATAAAAAGATACCCTTTTTTATCCTCTAAATTCTTAAGATACTATAATTATAAATATATAAAATATAAAGATCTTAAGATTATCTAGGAGTAGTTTCATCTTATCTAAAAGATAATCCTCTAGTTTAGAATTAACCCTAATAATATTTATAACTTTAATAAGATTAGTTTTACTATAGGCTTAACTATAATAGTAAAGGTAATTATAAGGAGTAAATTCTATAGTTAGCGTTTACTTTTATAACCTAGAAATTATAAATAGGTAACTACTATTAAATATATTAATATATTAGGTTAGGCCCTCCCTCTATATATTATTTTTAAAGGTAAAGTCTTTATTAAATTATAGTTTAATAGTTTTCTAAATAATTAGCGATTTAAAGTTAGTCCTAATAGCTAGACTTCTAATAAAACTAGACTTTACTAGCTTAAAAAGCTCTTTATTCCTAATATTTCTTTATATATAAAGGGGAGATATTAGCTTTTAATACTTAATAGATATAGAAGCTATTTAACCCTAAAATTTAATAAGATCTATAAATAAAATAAGGTTATACTAATCTATATACCTCCTTATTTATCTTATCTTTTATAGCCTCTTAGTATTAGTTATTTTATAGTGTTAAAATAATTATATAGATAGCTAGTTAAGTTAAAGATAAGAAGTAGAATTAACTATATTAATAAACTTAACTTCCTTAAAGTATATCTATCTACTTAAATTAAGACTTTTAAATTAGAGACTATTAAAAATAGCTTTATAGTAGCTAGTTTAGTACCTTTTATATCTAATTAAGTAATTAAGAAGCTTAATATTCGACTTTAAACCCCTACCCCCCTTTAGTAGGGGGAGCGATTAAGACCTATTAAACTATATATTATTATAAAAGTAAGTATCCTTAATTAAAGCCTTACTTTATATATATTTATATAGCCTACTAAGTCCCCTAAATAAAGCGATTAATTAGATCTTAAAGGCCTATTAAATTATAATATAGTCTACCGCTTTACTTAAGAAGGAAGTAAGCGAGCTATATACTATAAATAAGAAGTAAAAGTAAAAAAGGACTTAATCCCGGAAGTAGATACCCACTAAGTAAGGGCTCTTAGTTTAAGAAGCTTCTTAGTTAATTACTAAGCTAGTAGAAGTAGATAAAGTACCCCCTCCCCTCCACAAAGAAGCCCTTCGCTAGGTTTATAACCACGTACGTAGGCCCTACTAAAGTGTGGTGGCTATAGAGAAATAGGGTATAAAACCAATAGGTATTTAGCTAGATAAATCAATTTAGTTGAATTAATTTAATAGTGTTTTGGTTAAGATAAATATAGTTGAATTTAATAGGTGGATATAGGTACGTAGCTCGCTTGTGTGCGTAGCTCGCTTGTGAAATACGTTATAAAATATTATAACCTATTATTAGGCTATAATATTATATCTGCTAAAGTGCTCACAAAATAAATATTAGAGGTACTATTTGCTATTTTTAATACTTATATAGAGCTAAAAAGGATAGCCTTCCCTTTTTGAGCTAGTTATCCGAGGTTTTTAGCTAATTGTAGGCTTTTGATCCTATCTTAGCTCGCCTGATTCGATACATTGTATAGTCACAGATCTACCTAGATTACTCCGCTTGATAGTAGTGCAATAGCCCTGTGATAGGGCATGCTTCTGTACCATTTCGAGTAATTTATCGCGAGTATCATATACCGCTTCCGGGGGGGAGAAGTGCTAGTAAAACCATTGAATTAGTATAAAAGATAGGTAAGGTGGAGGTAATATGCTTACCTAGAGAGGTGGGGTTGATTGTAGCCAATTTTGCAGCGGTTGATTGGATCAGATCAATAGATATCAGATGATTTATATAGAAACTAGGGTGAAGAGAGAGAGAGAGAGAGAGAAAGAGAGAGAATTGGGAAGGGGGGAGGTGGTATTTATATCGTATACAGTGGTTGCTATAGGGTAGTGTTAGCTCCACAAGGATCGGACGTGGCTAAGCATCTCTTGGTGCTGGTACACAGCCTTGGCCACTTCATCGTAGGTCAAAATCTCGGAGGCTAGGGCTTTCCCCGATAACCAGCTGGTTCACCAACGCCGTGCGCTAGGCACCAGTCAGGCTCGCTTTGCCCAGTCCTCAAGAAAAGGTTGGCTTCATGCACGTTCAGGTTGAACTTGATTGTCATCTCACAGCCTATTTTAAAAGATGCATGGAGTGGCTTCTGGAATGGATTCATAGGTTGTGCAAGAAATCATCTCCTAAGTTCCACCTGGGGTACGTGGTATGATTTGTTTCTGTTGTGATATGAGGCTAGTGCAGATCAGGAACAAAGCCGCATCGTCGGAAATAATTCCGAGGTTTCTTTACGAAGAACGAAGTTGATTATAAATCTATTTGGTCCTCTTGCTGTATCATAAATTCACGTATTCGCTTGAAATAACAACTTACTCAATTCCTCTGAATGACAACAGTTGTGACCCAACACGCGACGAGCTAGGAGAAGAGTGGGGCGATTAACGGAGAGGCCAATCACAAGGGATCGTTTCGAGGGTGTGATGGACTACACTGCAGATAGGGATGAGTGGGCGAAGTTATGACAGAGCACGCGATATGTATTACCACGTAGACCAATAGGAGTGTAAAGAATTCCATTGGGGGCTTAAGTTGACTTGAAATAGAGTATAAAGAATTCCCGAATGATAATCTTACCCTGTGATTACACGCCCAAAATTTCTTAAACCCGAGGTCAGCACGGATTTTTCGAGCGAAGGAAGCCAAACAGTCCATGTTCCTCTAATTCTCGAGAAAGTGCTTCCTTAGACGCGCCGTTTCCCGTTAGATTGCCGGCATTTGACTCACATCTATCTGTCGCTAGCGTGACGTTGACTTCCTCTTTGACGGCTTTGCTTTCTTCACCGCTACATCTCTTGTTGAGCAATGCCTTTGTAGCCACGGCTAAGCTTGCAATGGTGGGAAATTGGTTGTGCCAGCACTTTCGAATCAGTTCGTCGACCATTGGATCACAATCCAAGACTGGGAACTGCATGGCCTGTAGTAAATCCCTGAGCGCTGGACCACGGTCATGCGGAGCGTCCGTGAGCCTTTTATCCCCGTATACTTCCATGCCGTAGTTGATGTAATAGTATATAGAGCCAAGGGCGAATTGCTCGGTTCGAGGTCCCAGGAGCCCGGCTGCACAGCCAGGCACATCATATTCCGGCTCACTCTCCCTCAGCTCCCTTCCCCACGGCTCTTGGCAAACCGTGAACGGTGTTCCAAATGACGCTGCATTGTCAAAATCTGTCACCTTGATTCTGTTGCTGTCAAGGAGAATATTCTCTGGTCGGAGATCACCATGAGCGAGATTAAGGGATTCAAGGAAAGCGATGGCTTGGGTAACATCATTCATCCATGCGAGTTGTAGATGCAGCGGTTCCAATCTATCCACATGGGTAACCACCCAGATTTTGCGATCGAAGGTGTGATTGGCTTGAATTCGGTCGGCAAGAGATCCATCTATTCAGTTGATCAATAGAGATGTTCTTGTAACCATAGATCTCAGGAGTATCACCTCTCATATGCTCAAGGAAGATCCCGTCGTCCGTGTAGTAGAAACACTGCACAATAAATGCGCAGGATGCTTGTCGGGAGAAAGTTTTATAGATCTCAAGTTCGTTACAAAATTGCTGTCTCGCGAAATCGTCGGTGTGTGGGACTTTGACCGCAATACCAGGGCCGACCTGGTAGATGAAGGAGATGCCTCCGAACGCAATCAGATGCACGTTCTGGAATTGGTCTCTTATCTCCATGGGTCCTGAGCTTCGCAAAACGTGATGATATCAGGAGTATACAGATCTTTGGAAGATCGAGCACTTAGTGAGGAAAGAGTCAGAATCAGCGAAGGGTTGGATGGAAGGGTCTTTAAGCGCTTTGTATGGATTATATAATATAAACACTTATAGTTTCCACTTCACCTCCTACATCCCTAGCTATATAGTTACCTTTATAGATAATATCTTAATCTATAGTAAGAATATTAAAGATTACTAGTAATAGGTTAGAGAGGTACTCTATTATCTATAAAAAGTAGGGTTATAAGTTACCTTATTAAAATCTAAATTCTCTATAAAGAAGACTAAGTTCCTTAGATTTATTATAAGTACTAATAGTATAGCTATTAATCTAAAAAAGATTTATATAGTCTAGTTATAGATAGTACTAACTATAGTAAAAGGAGTATAGTTATTCCTAGGATTCTATAATTTCTACTAATAATTTATTTAAGGATATAGTATAATTTTAAAGTTATTATATTAGTTAATAAGATAAGATTATAACGATCTGGAAGGTAAATCTTTGCTACCGAGAAGATTTCCGCCGAAAAGATTCTACTAGATATTTCTATCTTAATAGAGTTTATATTGTTTATATACTTAGTGGTAATAGGACCCTATAAAGGATCCTATCCTAGAGTTTTCTTTCTTCCTTTTCCTTCTCTCTTTATACTTAGTATTCTTATTAAAATACACTCTTTTATTCAAAGAACTAGCTGGTAATATATTAGGTATAATAATAGGCTACTTACTATAGCTAGTAGATAGGTTTCGCTTTAATCTAGCTATTCTAATTACGGCCATTGACCAATATTCCTCACTGCTGTACATAAAAGCATTGGGTTTTTTTCAGACCCAATGTGGTCGATCAACTTTCCAGTTACGACTACGGTTTATTGCTAGAAAAGTCATTACCTTTCCTACTACTCACCGAGATAAAAATTATCATCTTAAAGCGGTAATTAAACCTTTGGTTATAAGGGATTTTTTCCCTTACTTTAAGGTAGCCAATTTATCTTTTACTCACCTGTACACCACTACTACTTAATTTACTATTATATAATAATTTTAAACTAATTAGTCGTTCGATTAGCATGTGTCAAGTACTTGGACAGTGTTCAGTTAGAGCCATCATCAAACTCTCTATTTTATTTTTAATGCATACATCACATCTATATTGTTTTATACATAACTATAAAATTATCAATTTTAATGTTATTATTTAAAGATATAATTAAGCCAGTTTCTGTTTAATTTTAATAATTCTAAATAAAAACTTAACATAGGATTCTTGTTCGCTATTATTTTATTATTACTAATTAGTATTTTAGAATAATTTTAGTTTCTGTTAATATCCTTATATTTTTATAATTATTGAATAAATATATTCAAGTGTATATGCCTAATAAGTATTGGACTTTCCTATTTTCATAAAATTTTTATATCTCTAAAAAAAAAAAAATTATTATAATATAAAACTATAATAATAATATAAATTTTTATTTTTTTTT